TGAGATGTCATAAACTCACCTGTGTGAACTCACCTGTGAGTCTAACCGAATGCTCTTTGTTTCTTCAACTTCAGTATGTCCGAGTGTCCCAGGTACACTGCTTGTATCTGCAGGAGTGCTGAGATGTCAGAGCAGGTGATTATTTACATTTCTCCTAAACAAAAAAGCATCAGCAGGGTGTGGCCAGCTTAAAAGAAATGTAGATATTGAGGTGTCATATTCTATTTACTGTTCCATGCCATCATTCAATATGTTGATCTTTTCATACATCTATTCTTGGAATAGATGTATGGAACAATACAGGTGTGTTTTAAATTGACCAATATTCTAGCACCAGGAAGAACCATCATCAGACTTTGTCATTTTCAAAAATTTTTTAAAAGGCCAACCAAACCAAAGTTGCCTTGTTTTTTATTGGAGTAATTTTTTAGGACCAAATTTTCTTACGTTTTTAAAAAAATAAACTGTACGGAACTAAACAGAAGAAAGAAGAAGAGAAATAACAAGTTAACATAAACCAGTGACACACTCCACTCAAGGATCACTACTGACGATGTGTCCCAAACTGGTAAAGCGTCTGGGCTGCCTTTCCTCATAACAGCCATCCCTCAAGATTTTCTCCATTTAAAGCAATGCATTATCAGAGACTGTAACATCTAGTCCTTTTTACTGAATCAGAACTCTGGAGTGATCCAGTGACCGCTGCGAAAGGGCAGCTGACAATCAGGGAAAGACCAGATGACAGCCTGGAAAGACCGCTAACAGGAGGGAATAGACCCTAATGGGGCTGGTGTTGGTTAACGCCTCATACCAGCAGGACGCAGCGCTTTTTAGCGTACCTGGGCACACCCAATATTACTACGGAAATCTCAACGGGGAAGATACCCTTAGGGTCTGCCAGAGCAGGGGCGAAAGAAGATGCTTTCCAGACGGATTTAATAGCAACGAACCACGGAACGGTACCAACGACGAATAGATCAACCAGTATTGCTAATAATGGACCATCAATGATGGTAGGAAAGAAGCTGCAGAACTGCATTTGTGGCTGGTCAAAACTAACAACTGACATGGGCCTTAAAATCCACCAAGGCAGGAAGAAGTGCCTCAGCGAGCTGAGAAAGGGGCCTCGCATTGACACATACTTTTTAAGAAGTAAGTCAAATCAGTCCATTGAAATCCAGAGGCTGGAGAATCCCCACAGTCCTCAGGGCATCAGCACCCCGTTCGAAGTTCATTGTTGTACAGACTCCCCATAGTCCTCCCCCAGATTGGAACTCAGTCAAATCCAGCCAGTAGCAGTTCCCAGTCTAGAGCTTAGCCAGCCACACCCAATATTAGATCCAAGCTCAGGGCCCAGCCATTTATTATCAGCCCCTAGCTTGGAGTTTAGCCACCAACAGCTAGCAACACACTTGTGTATATATGTAAACTAGCCACAATCAACACTACGTTCCAGCCCAGAGCTCATCCAGAAACAGCCAACAGAAACTTTCAACACAGAGTCTAGCCAACCACTACCAGCAAGGGAAAAGAAGATTGAAGGTAGGAAAAGATCAGATTCTGTGGCCCAGATCCAGTGAGAAAAGAGAGTGGGAAACCATTAACTCGGAACTGGCTCTTATACTAGATCAACAAAAGGGTCCAGTTGAAAGGAAGCTGGAGAACCCGGGAACCATCATCTACAGCTATGGGGCCGAGCGATTTGGGGTAAAGAACAAGACTCAGAGACAGCAGAAAGGCCATTTAAACCAGATACAAGCAGATATTTGTCTGTTTCAGGTGGTTGGCAACACATTTTCCTGTGCTCTTTGTCC